GCTTTTGGAGTCTTAGTTTGGGAACTCTAACAATAAACTATCCACTGGGTGGCTTATAAACAGAAATGTATTTCTCACAGATCTGAAGGCTTTAAGTCTGATGTCAAGGAGCCATTATTGGCAGTTTCTGGTGAAGGTCCTGTTTTATGGTTATAGACCACTGATTTCCATTGGTATTCTCAAATGGTGGAAAAAAGCATTAGCTAGTTTCCTGGCATGCTGTTGCAAGGGCACTCACTACTCCCACATAAAAGGGATCTATCCTCATAATCTAATTACTTCTCAAAGGCCACACAAGTTAGAATTCAACAACAGAATTTTGAGGAGATGAAACCATTCAGTCCTGGCTTTGGGCCACCTTCTACTTAGTATTGCTGGCACTGTGACTGCCTTATTGCCCATGCCTTAGAAACTTTGATCATACTCTTTCTCATGTCCATCTATCTCTACTTCTCTCACAATTGTGTTTCTAATGCTTATCACTTCTACCTAGGTCACCAAGACTCATTCATAGCCCCACCTTTCCTGAGTAGCTATCATTATTCCTATTATGAGAAACAGAACTACTCCTAATTACAATATACATCTATGTGTTTGGGCTAAATACTGACCAGCATTTTTTTAGATGTATCCATCTCAAGCCACCTCCCAAATTCCAGATATAGAAGGCCACCCACCCATATGATGTGTTCCTTCATTGATCTTTGAAATAACTTAGAAGTAGCTAAAAACAATTAAAAAAATATTCTCAATGAAAATGAACCTGCATTTGGAGTTTCCATCCTTCTAGATCTTAAACTCTTAGAGCAGCAGTTCTCAACTTATGGATTATGACCCTAACCCTAACCCTAACCCTGAGGATTATGACCCCTTTGGGAGGTTTAACAACCCTTTTACAGGGGTCGCCTAAGACCATCAGAAAACATATAGTTCTGATCTATGATTCATAACAGTAACAAAATTACACTTAGGAAGTAGCCACGAAAATAATTTTATAGTTGGGAGTCACCACACCATGAGGAACTGTATTCATCGATCACAGCATTAGGAAGGTTGAGAACCACTGTCCTGGAGGCTGTGCCAATATTTGACTACTACCTTCCCCTCTTTAAAAGCTAAGACCCTAAGCAGCACTTATTCCCAAACTAATGTAGACTCCTACCACTTCCTCCATTTTCACCCTGGTCTAGTCACTATTAACACTCACCTGGATTATTAGAGCAGCATCCTCCCTTACTGCCTCCCTCACAACAACTGGGTTTTCCATGACACAGGGACATACATGGAGGCTGACATGGCGAACATTAGGTCAGCTCCCTCCTCTTTGTTTTCCTTTTCTAAGTGTCCCATTGTTCTCATCACTCCAAAGCAGATACCTAGATCTCAATTCATTCTGGCTCTGAATCCTACCCTGCTCCTTTTCATTCCCACAGAAGAAAACACCTGGGGTGAATCTGTGCATGATGTCAGACTCATCTCCAAGCATTTACACATTCCAGTGCCTGAGTCAACCTCATTCTGTTGTCTGTTACCATTAGGAACTACTTCAAAGAACCCCCAATATTGAATGAGGACGCTGTGCTTGGGTTTGTTAAGCATTCTTTGGCCCAGGACAAGGTCATGAGTAGTGACAGTCTGACACACTCTCCTTACCTGCATGAGGGCCATATCCACTTCTTCAGTAATGGAAACCTGTAAAAGAGATATCATGAATGATGGCAGGGATCCAAACCCTTGGGTCTTTCTCTATATTCTCCCAACATGGAGCAAGGTGACCTGGGGGTGCCTTCGTTACATCTGATCCCAAATACTCAGTGCTGAGGGTTACCTGTGGGGCCCTGAACAATGACTCAACTCGCCTGTGCTATATAGAACAGCTTTTTGGAAAACCGAAAGCCCACACTCAAGCCTGTATACTTCTTCCCTACAGAAATTCCTATGTCGTAGGGATAAGGATAAAACTCCCCATCTTACTATTACAGGCTTAAAATATTCCAGACTTCAATATCGGTCCAAGAAATTACACACTCTGGGGCCTTGGCTGTCACACACTGCCCTGTCTTGTCACAGTAGCTTTGCAAATAGGGAACCTAAACACAAACCAGGATTTGGAGAGTAGCGACTTAAGCGGACTCCCTCACTCAGACTTTGTATGATACTTGGTGAGGGCAACGGAGCATCGGATGTCACAGCACTTACCTAAGCCTGGTGCATGAACATGGGCATAGCCATCCAACTAAGGCGCGCGCAGATGGCACGGAGACGGGACCGGGACTTTGGGCAAAGCTGCCGCCGCCAGCGCCCAGTGTGCGATGAATGCTACTTCTAGAACCGCTCCTTCATACTCTTCATCCCCTAACGCTGGACAAAGGGGTCCTGCATATGGTCAACAAAAACGGACCCAAAAACCGCTAAAACGAGCGCCACAGAATGCAGCCGGAAGTCCCGCCCTATCCTACCAGTAAAAAAAAAAAAACCTGAAAATGATACCGTTCTAATTGCTCATTGGTTCAGTGTTCTTCTATCTGTGACAAATGCACTCTGGGTAACGTAGTTCCTCTAGTTGTGCGTCTGCGGCTGGGTAAGCTGTGGACCCTCACCACCTGGAACAAAGGCTAAGCGAGATGCCAGGAAATGTCGTCACAGACGGTAGCAAACAAGCCTCTTTCAGGTATTTGTTTTCTGGTCTGTGTTCTTCGTTTGTAGTCTTGGGCCACCCCAGTGTTTTCCAACCAGGGGGCAAACAGAATACCCAAAAAGGGCTGCAAGTAGGCTACACTGGAGGTCAAAGGGGCTATGGTTGGCTAGGAGGATGATACTCTCTCTGAGGGAGCAAAGAAACTTCTCCACTTCTTACCCAAATTCTGGACAGACATCATGATGGAAGCGCATGCCTAGCCTCCAGAACTAGCTGTAGGCACTTAGCTGCCCTAATCCACTGCTGGAGACTATCTGTAAGTAGTCTCTTCTAAATAGCTAGGTGTGTTACACTTCCATTTCTGCTCTCATATCCTGGAGCCCTCCCTTAGTATTCTAACACCCCTGCCCCATCTTTCATGGCACTTGAATGTCCCTTCCTCTCTGTCCCGTCAGAGGATGCATCACAGATCACATATGGCTCTTTAAACTTCAAATATATATATATATATATATATATATATATATATATATATCGAGAAACTAGAGAGCTAGCCGACTTTCCTGAATATTACAAGGAGCATAGATTACCTCTCTAAAAAAACAGGATCTGTGTGAAACCCACAAGTTCCTCACAACTCCCCCTCTTCTAAGGGTGCAGCCCTTTGCAAACAGACCCAGCCAGCCACCTACAGAAGTGGCCAGTTATAGCCACCAACTGGTCATAAACTAAGGTTAAATGTAACCACAGTCCACAACTGCCAAAATCAAAGATGAAAACAGTTTAAGCAATTCTGAAACTTTTAGCTTGTGAACAAGTTCTGTGTTTTTCTTGTATTTGTGTATTTAGCATCTGTCAATCTCTGGACCGAACAAAGAGCTTAAGTTGTCCCTCATGATGATATACAGCATGTGATTCCAGTACAGGATACTGGAGGCAAGAGAATCATTAGTTTCAGGCCAGCCTGGCTAGATAGCAAAACCCCAAGTCAAACAAAACAACAAAATATCAACAAATACCAACAGCAAAAGCCATCTCAACGGGTTGAAAAGTGTTGACGGGAATATGGCCAGCTTGAGTATGGTGAGCATGGAGAGCATGGCTCTGGCAGGCCTTGCTCCTCTCTCCCACACACTCTGCTTTGCTAAAAACCATTACACTCCTTAAAGCTTGCCCCCAAGGTCTATCATTTATTTGGCCACTTCCATCTCTTGATGAAAGGTCCAGCTATCAAAGTATTTAAGACCAACAATCAGAAGCCCCTTTGGCTCACCTCATTAATATGTCCAGTTAAAATTAAACACCTCATCCTAGCAGGAGGGGTTTCTATTTTTCCTTTGTAAGCTGCCATTTTCTTAGGTGCCATGCCCACCTCCCCTTTACACAGAGGCAGTCCTTTGTCCCCCTAGGGACAAATATCCCTGTCCCCTTTCCCCTTCTCCCTCTTCCTCTATCTCCTGTGTTTGTCTCTTATTTCTAGCCTTCAATCCCCCTGGGGCAAATAAATCTCCTTTGTGCTGAGAACTTGGCCTTGGGGGTCCTGAGTTGATCTTTCAGTGCAAGTGTCCTGTCCAAGTGACTCAGTTGGTCTAAACTTCTTCCAGGCAGCTGGCCTGGATTCTGCTTCTACTCAGCTACTCTGGACTCAATCTTCTTTGCAGCTTGGCTTGTTTACTCCTAGGAAGAAGAAGCCTAGGGAAAATGCTCAGTTTCAAGGATTTTCTGAAACTATTTTGACTTTTCTCAGCTTCCTTCCTGTGTAAGGATGGAATGTTACAATCTCACAGTTAACAGTTACACAACAAAGCTATACATACATTCCTAAACAGTACGAGGCTGCAGAAATCAATGAAGGCACAGTCACTAGACTTGTGATGATTTTTTTGTAATAGGCAGAGTTCACTTGTTTTGCTGTAAATCTCTTCCACTTCCAGTTTATCACACCCAGTATTATATTTCCAATTAGGGATCATACCTGGTAACCATTATATGTAAATTTCTGGACAGGAGGACATGTAACTTCTTACACAGCAGGTGAAAACCTCCCCTTTACAGTGTCAAGCACTACAAATTAGCATACAAGAGCTAAACAAATGCATGCTATCATTAGAAGGACAGAAAAAAATAAACCCTCTTCAGTGGCCCCTGGTTTCACCAAAATGGAAGCATCAAGGCCACAAATTAAGACCACAAAGTCCTATATGCCTAGATCTCAGAAAGAAAACAAGATGAAAGAAATGAGAAATATTTTTGACTCAGCTGTACCTACAAGACAAAGTGAGATCTCCACAAAAGCTGTTGATCCATGCAGAGTTCAATTTTGTCTCCTACTATTGGGAAGAAGAATCCCAAAGACTACAGGTAGACTCAACAGTAAACGTGTTTATTAATGCATAGACTAGACATTGGTAGTCATAAGTTGGTAAATGGAAGACTGGAAAAATTAACCACAGTGTCAGTGTAAGACAACAATTTCCATAAAGAAGGGATGATAATGCTGGAAAACTCCAGCAGACTGAAGACTGGTTCCTCCTGGTAAAACATGACAGATGCATGTTTCAACTACTCAGGAAAAAAACAAAATAAAACAAAACATGTTCCTTGTGAAACCTCAGTAAACCCCCCCCCCCCCCACACTCTATCCCCTACAGACAAAGAGAAGCTTAAACCAGGATTCCTAAGTATAGATAAGAATTGAGATCCCTTTCAAGTTCCCAGGTGGTGATATCAGCTACAGGGACTTAAAAACAGAGTAAGGATATTAGGCCAACTGGTAGGGGCTAATTGGCCATAAAACATCCCAAACTTCTCAAACCCTGGAGACAGCTCGTAAAACTCCTAACACGGTTGCTGAACAAACGAAAGATAAAGATAACATAAAAGACTGAAAAAAGGAAACTGATACTAACCAAGGAGAGGGAGGTGGGTTGTGGGGTATGAATTATGTGGTCTGTGCCTTTAAGAACTAGCCTCACAAAGAAAGGGCAAGCTCCTCCCTGCCTCACTGCTACAAGTAAGTGCATTGTAACAAGCTTCCCTGCTGCAGCCTTAAACAGAATAAACCTTGCTTTTGCATTCTGGTATGGATAGTCCTTGGTGGTCTCTCTGGGGGGTCACGATCTGGGCACAACATTCCTCTTAAGGCTTTGCTCAGGATTCCACCCAGATATTTGCCTTTCCTTAGCATGTTGAGGATACCAATGCACAATGAGCAAACTGATAAAAAAGTAAGATGATTTCTACCACAGAAAATGGCTTGAGTATAACTCAGACAAGAGCCCGAATCACATCAGCATGTATGGAGCAGTTCCTATAAAACTCATCCATTCCTGAACACACAAGGAATACAAACACCCTGGATGTTTGAAAATATAAGGTTCAACTTGAGGCAAGCAGTTCAATTATAAAAGTTAATACTGGGAAAAAAAGAAAAGGAAAAATAAATGAGAACATCCCCTGCAGGTCCATGTCTTCTTGAGCACAGTATGAACTTCCAAGACCTAAAGGATATTAGACCTTGGACTGAAGCTATTTTTGCATGTTATTCTCATGAAGCCTCTCCATGGTGTGAGACTTTTCGGTGGAGAAAGAGGGTAGACTGTTGAGGAAAAGATTTCCCACATTTACCACACTCATATGGCCTCTCTCGTGTGTGAACTACGTGGTGTTGAAAGAGGTGACACTTTTGGACAAAAGACTTACCACACTGGCCACACTTAAAAGGCTTTAATCCAGTATGAAGTTTCTGATGTTGCATAAGACCATTGCTTTCTTGAAAAAATTTCCCACATTCTTTGCACTCAAATGGCTTCTCCCCAGTGTGAGATCTCTGGTGTCGAACAAGCTTAGATTTGTAAATGAATGCTTTCCCACAATCGCTGCACACATGAGGCTTTTCTGCAGTGTGAGTTTTGTGGTGTTTGTTGGAAGTGTCTCTTTGGCTAAAGGATTTCTCATTCTCATCACACCCATAAGGCCTTGCTCCAGTGTGAATCATCTGGTGTTCAAGCAGACTATGGCTGTGTGTGAAGAATTTTCCACATTCATCACATTCATAACGCTTTTCAGCTGCATGAATTCTCTGGTGCCGAACAAGAGTTGATTTGCATCCAAAGGATTTCCCACATTCATCACACTCATAAGGTCTTTCTCCAGTGTGGATTCGGCAGTGTTCAGTAAGGTTGGAAATTTGCCTAAAGGATTTTCCACATTCATCACACACATAGGGCTTTTCTCCTGTGTGAACTCTATAATGTTTAATGAGGGTATCTCTTTGGGTAAATGATTTCCCACATTCACCACACTCATAAGGCTTTTCACCTGTGTGAATTCTGAGGTGGTTATTTAGGTGGGAGGTCTGTCTAAAAGATTTTCCACATTCATTGCACTTGTACGACTTTTCTCTACCAGGGACTCTATTGGGATGAGTAAAAGAGCTTTTATGGCGGTGGACTTTCCTACATTTAGTAGACTCAGAAAGTCTTTTTCTAGCATTGGCTCTTGGGTAGTGATCCTGAGTGTGTTTAAGGCTGGAGGCTTTTCTGTGTTGACTCTGCTTGGAATATCCTATTCTAGTCTGAAAGCCCTTTCCACATTCAGTGATTAGGTTTGGTTGCTCACAAATGGGAATGGTCTGTGGAGGGATAATGTCCAATGCATCTGGGAAGTTCTTTCTAACTTCTGCAGAGGGAAAGGGCTTTTGTGACCCACGAATTCTGCAATTCTTCACCAGTAAGGCTGTATGTGAGTGTCTTTTCAAGGTATTTTCTGAGTTGCGATGATTCTGTTCCTGGGGAAGGTTTGATTTCTGCCTAAGTTGATGAACCAGGTGCAACATGCCTTTCAAGAGTGGCAAATATATATCACATGGATGAGACTCCTGGTTAGCTGGACTTGCTTTTGGGGTCCTGACCAGTGACAATCCTTCTACAACAACCTGATCAAAAGGTAGCTTTCCATTCTCCATTCCTTGCCAGCAATCTGAAAACAGAGAAATTAATTATTATGAAACATATTTATTATGATGGTGTATTATTTGTGTTTTAAAATAATTTTCTGTAAAATTATTTATATACTTTATTACTTTTTATTTTATTTTTCTGATAAGTTCTCACATATCTCAAGCTCACCTCAAACACATCATGAAGTTATTGTTTACCTTGAATTTCTGATCCTCCAACATATATGCTTGTAAAGCTAGACATGTAGCTTTTAAAACTAAGCTGCACCCACAGCCCAATAGGTAACGTGAGTTTTTTGTTTTGTTTTAATTTTTATGTTTTATTTTTTTTCTTGGTGCCAGGAATTACCCCAGGGCAACATTTCTCAACCTGAGGGTTGCAACCCCTTTGCGGGCTGTATTTTTGATAGCCTGTGTATAAGATGTTTATATTACAATTCATAATAGTAGAAAAATTATAATTTTGAAGTAGCAATGAAATACTTTTATGGTTGGGAGTCATCACAACAGGAGTAACTGTATTAAAGGGTCACAGTATTAGGAACGTTGAGGACCACTGTCCTAGGGCTTTACACATCTTAGGTTAAGTACTCAACCACTGAGCAGTATAGCAACAACTTGATTTTTAGATATCTTCAAAACTTTGCCAAAAGCAAGGCATGATGGCATGTGGTTATTATCCTAGCTATCTTGGAGATTGAGGCAGAACTGTTTTAGCTCAGGCATTCAGGCTTAGCCTGGGCAACACAGCGTGACTGGTGAGTGGGATCTTCTTTATTGCTGCTGGCTGGGGAGAGACTAGAGTCTTCCTCTAAGCAAGGCAATTCTTAAGCAATAACAAAAGGCTTCAGGGGGCCTATAGCATTTATATGCAAATGAACCAATCAACAGCTCATGCTCCCTGCCACATTTTCTGTCTCTTGGACAATTCAAGATGGAATGAATATTCCTTTGTCTAATCATCCTGAGTTCAGGGAGCAGACAAGTAAGGCCAACTGCCCCACAAACCTGCTGTCATTATTTAAACTGCTCAACCCTACAACACTGTTTGCCACGTTCTGCTTTTCATGGAGAAACTCTATTGGTGGTTGTGATTAATTGTTTTTCCTTTCTTGCTTCTGCCTCCTGAACACCAGGTACTTCTCATGGAAACACCAACCGTCTTATATCAGTGTCCCCAACCTCTCTGTGCTATTATTACTCAGTCACTTCTCTAGCTAAAATCCTGCAGGTACATTTTAAAACAAGAAAAGGAAAGTCTTGTGATTCACATAGCAAGACATGAGGCCTTGGTGTATTGATGTGAGGAAGAGGGAGCTACATGTGAGGTAAGGAAGGGGCTGTCAGGGAGTGTTAGGTTAATATCACAAAACATGGAAGCCTCATGAGACAAAGGACACAAGGTTGAATTATATCACAAACATTAGAGGCAACTTATTCCTCAGTCAACAGCAATCAGTAAGACCTTATTGTTTGGGGTCTTCATTACAGGAATTCTGTATAGAAGGTTAAGGATATCTCAGATGTGTTCAAGGAATATTTAAGCATTTATGGATACTTCACAGTGAATGCATATGAGTACTGGAAAATGCCTAACAGGAGGTGGTACAGAGCAACAGGTAACAAGTCTCCCTGTCTCCCTGGGCAACTCATCAAGGTCAATTGTCCTCTGGGATTGCACTGCACTAAAAAGCATCCAGGGATATCTCCATGTCCCTTGTCATGAATCTGCATGGAACCTGCATGAAGCAAGTCCTAAAAGAAATACAAGACAGAGCAGATGAGCCTCCAACAGTGGCCCAAGAGACTCGGCTTATTACATGACCAGGATGGAAAATAACATACTCGAAGGAGATTTTTGGCAACATCTCATAGTCCTATGTAAATACTGATCATGACAATGCCTGTTATTTCTCACTCTGGCAGTCAATGGGGAGCTATCATTTAGGAAGAGGTGCAGAAATTAGGAAATGAAGCCCAACATATCTAGACTACAGAAACCATAAAAGGAAGCAGATGAACAAGAATCTTACTTTACTGATACAAGGTACCTGATGCCCAGACTCTTCTGGCACTGTTTGGAACAGTGCATACGGCTAATCCCTCCATATATGAGAAGATAATAGAGAAGTTAACAGAACCCAAAATCTTGCTCTGGAAATAGCAAAGCTATCTGTACTGGAAGAAAATGGATATTGGCAAGTACATGGATGGGCTGGGTATGGGGCCTTACCCAATGAAGTTATAAGTGCAAAGTTCTCTAGCATCACACGAAGGTACAGCTGCCTCTGAGCCTCATCGAGGAGCCTCCACTCTTCCTTGGAGAAGAAGATGGCCACATCCTCAAAAGTCACAAAGTCCTGCCACAATGGGAACAGACCTTTCCATTATCAGTTCTCTTAGGATCCCAAGTTCATCATCATCCTCCCCCCAAGTCATTCTTTCCCTGAATGCCCTTTGCTGATATCGAACGATAATTGGTGACACTAATGTCCACTCTCATGATACTCCCATTCATCACTATGTCCTCCAACTGTGGGAAATACAACATGGGATAACACTTCAACTCTGGTCATGGTATATACAGCCCACAGCCAGTTTCCAAGGGTTTTCAAAGTTGTACCTTTCTGATACAAAAAGTTTGGAGCTTATCTACTATTCTGTAGTTCTCAAGGCTATCCCTATGGATCCACACCCCCTCCATCCATGTATCACTTCACTCTTTATCATATTTCTCAGAAGCTCTCCTTCCCACCTCTACCTCCACCTTGATCCCTTTCCATAGACCTCGTTCTGTTTCTCTCACATTACTCAGAACATGATATCCAGAGAATCAGACCACAGACTCTCCAAATGCCTCTCCTCCAAAAAATTAGGCCAAGCCTCTGTGCAGACTGCTCATGGGTGGGTTTGTTCTGTCTCCCTGGGGCACAGTTAAACAGCTCTACTGTGCCATGGCCTCACAACCCTGCAAGATAAACTTAGGATCCAACTGAGGACCTGGCTCCTTGGTACTTAGGTGGTGTGGAATTTCCTGCCAGCCCCTCCAGAATTTGTAAGCCAGAGGTCCCCTTATTTCAGAGGATTTCTATGCAGGCTTGTCCCCATAATGCTACGCAGAGTAGATGGCTCTTCTGCTCCTTTACCTTGAACTATAGCTTCATGACATCCTTCCCTATGTCTTAAAGGGAAGCTTCTCTTTCCCTTTAAGGCCCAACTAATGCTGCCCCTGGTGTGAGCTGCTGTCCTGTCTGATACTCTCCCACCTCACAGCCCTACTGTGGACCCATGACTCCAAGGTCCCCTCCCCAGGAGTTCTGAAGGATGACTGGTCTCAGCTTCCTTCTCCACAGACCTGCAATCCCTAACCTGCACTCTGTTATAACACAGATGGGCCTTGGCAGCTTGATACAGGATCCCTCTGATGGTCCACACTACCAGAGGCAGCCCCAGTTCTGTTCTCAAGCCCCCTGGATTAGTCTATTTTCATTAACATAACAACACATATAAGGCAAGCTTCTTTATAAAGAAAAGAACTATGGTTTGGTTTGTGGCTCTGGAGGTGCAAGGTCTCTTTGGTGACAACCTTCTTGTTGCAGAGTTCTGATGCATGAAAGAAACATATGATAAGAGGCAAGAAGAAAGGAGGGCATGTGTGTGTGATCTCTTTTATAAAGACACCAGGATTCAGCCATGGGTGAGAAGAACAACCTTAATGAGTTAATTTTACCCTACTCACTCCTCAAAGATTCTATCTCTAAACACCTCAGGCAGGTAAGTTTTTGCCCTATTAATACCTGACACTGAGTATTATATTTCAATACATGAAGTCATGGGGTTGGGCACGCAACCACGCAGAAACCACCGCAGACTCTGCTTGACTGTTTCACATCTCAACCTTGGCCACTCAGGAAAACCCGCTAATCTCAAACACATATCACTTTCTTCAACTCTTTGGAACCTGATGTACCCTCTTCACTTGCTGCCTTCCTCTTCTCCTGACCCCATTCAATGGCCTGACATAGTGCCCTTCCTTCTACACGAGGCCCTGTGACTCTCTCAATTAACACCTATGTCTCTGAATGTATGACCTGCCTGAACCTCCTCAAACACACTAAGGGTAACTACAGAATTCCACTACATCTAAAGCAAGCTGGATAAACATTAGTCTTAGCTTTAGCGCCTCGGTTTCTCCTAGTACTTCTCACTGACTTATCCCCTAGAGTTTTGACAACTTGCTACATCTCACACCCTCCCCAAGGCCACTTCTGAACCTGTGATTCTCACAATGACTACCCAGGCACCCAAACCTAACCCACCAGTGATCCCTGCCCTCTTTCCCAAGTGTACTAATATGACTACCTAAACTACAAAAACTCCTCCTAATGGTTACCCAAATTACACCCTAGCACAAACACTTCTAACACTGCCTTCTGAATGACTCCATCCTGAATTTGAATCCACTCTCGACATGGTCCTAGGCTGTGTAGTTAACCACGCATTTGGCATGCCCAAATTAGGTGTTTTGAAACATCTCGGATTCTAAGCATATCCCCAAACCAAACTCCAATGTTAACTGCATCTACCACCAACTTCACACCAGTGTTGGCGGTGCCTCTGAGCTTCTAGTTACTAAACATGACCACCACGCTTTTACACACAAAATTAGCTCCCAGTTTTCTCTCTCACCTTCATCAGCAGTAAACCTGACATTCCTTATCTAAACAACACAAAACCTGGAGCCCAACAGCAACCACCTCTGTGACTACAGTAGCTTTTTCCTTGATTATCTCATCCTTCTGTAGCACCAGGAAGTGTAACCTGGGTCAAAGAATCTCCCAGTTCTTCTGGGATTCTGAAGAGGGCATCTGAGAAAGCCACTGCAGGTCTGACAACTATGCCCTAGCTTTTGGGTCCCAAGAGAAATAAAAGAAAAACTATTCTGCCCCACCTTCGCCCATTGATTTATCCAGTATGTAACAGCAGGGTAGTCTTCCCTTTACATGAATTATCTTGAAGAGACATTAAGAAATGTCTTGTTCACCCCAGTCAGAACATCAACAGACCAAGGTAATGGCACTAGCCAAATCTGGCTTGGTGAAACTGTGAGACTACTTAGTGTTTTTCAGCCTTTCTAATGCTGCCACCCTTTAATACAGTTCCTCATGCTGTGGTGATCCCCCAACCATAAAATGATTTTTGTTCTTCGTTACAACTTTATAACTGTAATTTGCTACTGTTATAAATCATCACACAAATATCTGTGTTTTCCTATGGTCTTGGGTGACCTCTGTGAAAGGGTCGTTCCACCCCCATCATGGGTTGCTAACCACAGGTTGAGAACCACTGCTCTAGCACTCCACAAGACCAAGGACAGATGTGGTGAGCTTGGTTCAGCAGTGGTGAGGAATTAATGGTGATCCTCTCCCTGTCTTCTACAAATAAAAGGAATGTTAAGAGTCCCAATAGCCTTACCACTGCCATGGTGTCTCTCTATCACTGTACTGTTTTGCTCATTTCACTGTCACGACTAAGGGACCAATGTATTTTGTAGGTCACCATACCAATCTCTGCTCCATAAAGGCCAATAACCGTAATACACCCAAAAGAAGTTATGTAAGAGGTAACACCTTCACACCTCATTTGCCCTGGTTCCCAGCAGATAAGAACCAGTCCATATAGCCCCTAAGTCAAGAGTAGGGCTCCTGTACTTAAGAGTCTGTTCAGGTCAGCAGGCCAAACTTGGACACAGATTCCAGAACACAATCCCCAAGACAAAGAATAGGACTAGCTCCAATGAGGCTGTAGAATGGTCATAAGAATTTCTGAGCAAAGGTAGGTTGTGAGAAGCCACTATCCACGGTCGGGGATCCAAGTGCATATCACATGCCTCCTCACTTTTCTGCTTTCCCTGCTCAGCCAGTAAGCCAGGTGACCTGGAAAGAACTTCATGAAGGACATCTCTTAGTCCTCCAATTCCCAGTGTTCGTTCTTACTATAAGAAATTGCACACGGCTCCAACTTTTCCTGGGTTTCACCTTGCCCTTTTCCAAACAGTTCTACCTCTGGATACAAGGAGTAGACACTTCAAAAAAGCTGAAACCTGACTGATTCATTCAGCTCACAACACTGGCTACCAGCCTCCTGCCGTGAAAGCTCCCAGCTCAGCACTCTCCCACAGCTCTGACTCTGGATTTGGAAATGGGGGCCCATCTGTGTGTCCTGCACTGTTTTGAACCCAGGGATTTCTACTCGGTAGCTGTCCCTGCACTAGGCTTTAAGGTGGAGCAAAGCCCAAAGGACTCAGCACGTACCTGAGCCAGGTCGCTCTGGGTGGCCACCGCCATCGGATTCCGAAGGTGCAGATTCCGAAGGTGCAGCGGGAACCGCGAAACCAGCGCAGCTCCTCAGTCCAGCCAGAAGGGAGAGGTGGCAACACTCGCACCGCTGAAGCCCCAAACCCTCACAGCTTGCAGTGCGGGAACACGGCGCTCAACACAGCCTTCGGAACTACTGTTAAGCCAGTAGTGAAGCCAAGTTCCGTAGTGACGGGACTGACCCAGTGACGTTGGCCTATGATCATTCATTGGCCTTGGCGAACTGCATTCTGGGCAACGTAGTTTTCAGAGCTAACAGGCTTGTGCTATTGGTAACCAAGGCAACTCCTGCCAAAGTAACTGATTACCTCATGAGAGAAAGAACCAGGTTTTACTAGTCTGTCCTCCCTCCCGCCCTCCCTTCTTTTCTTCCTCTATCCATCTCTTCCTCCTTTACATTCATTCTTTCCCTCCTTACTATCTTCTTTTTGTTGATCAGTAAAATTTTACATATTTATGGAGTACAGTGTGACATTTCAATACATGTAAAACTTGTATTAGTTAGAATTTCTATTGTGATAAAACACCCTGACCAAAATAAATATATAAATAAAATAATAGAAAGCAACTTGGGGAGGAAAAAACTTATTTAATTTTTTACTTCCAGGTAGAAGTCCATCACTGAAGGAAGTCATGGCAGGAACTCAAGTCTGGCAGGAACCTGGAGGCAGGGAACGGAGCAGGGGCCATGCAGGAGTGTTGCTTACTGCCTTGATCCACATGACTTGCTCAGCTTGCTTTCTTACTGCATCCAGGACCATGTATGTGTACCCATGTGTACAAGAGTGGCACTGCCCACAAGGAGCTGCGCCCTCCCACACCAATCATTAGTCAAGTAAATGCCCACAGGCTTGTCTACAGACCAATCTTATGCAGGATTTTTTTTTTCAATTAAGGTTCCCTCTTCCCAAATGATTGTAGATTGTGTTAAACTGACACGAAACTAGCCAGCACAAGACTGATTCTAAGAAACCAGAGTAATCAGTCTTACTATTTCTTTACTGTTTTATTTATACATTTTCTTTAGAGACTAGGTTTCAGTTATTGCAGGCTGGACTGAAACTTGCTGCATGACTAAGGATGTCCTTTATCCTCTTGCCTCCATGTCATGAGTGCTGAGGTTATAATTTTGTATCACCATGCCCAGTTTGTGCAGTGGGATTGAACTCAGCGCTTTGGACATAGTAGGCAAACACTCTATCAACTGAGCCACATCCTCAACCCTCATTTATTCAGTTTTCATTGAAAACCCCAAGTCCTCTTATCATTTGTTCCCCAGTCTGTTTCTCTTTCCTTCTAGTATCCTTCCTTCCCACATTCCCTTTCTGCTTTTATGTATACACATATGTACATATACATACAATGATGCCTGTATCCATGTAGTACCTACCATAGACATTTGCTTCTCATGACTCTCCCCTTTTTACATGCTTGCCCAAATATAGAAATACTCATGGACTTAGTGGAGGTGAACGGAAGGCAGAGCATCTATAGCCTTACTGGAGCTGGTCCTGTTCTTTGATTTTGGCATTATTACTTTCTGAACTAGGTAGAGTCTTCTTTGCTGTTGAGCATCAAAGTCTTAAACGTCATTTTTTTTTGTTCCCGAATTGGCTTCTCCTGCACAAAGCTGTTGCATCTGCTTCATGTTCACTTGCTTCAAATGGGCATAGTTTTTCACAGAGCTTTCCACACAAGGTGAATTCCTCACACAAGTGAGAGAACTGTAGCTTTTTCTAGCCCTTGACTGGAGTTCCATCATGTTCTCTATCATTGCAGTGGGTTCCATCTGAGACACTGGAATAAAGGCCCAAGTTCTACAGCAGCTCTAATTACAACACTCAGGACATGGAGGCAAGGGGACCTGGAAGTTCAAGGTCTTCCTCAGTAGCATAGCAAATTTGAGCTATTATGAGGCAGTGGTAGCACACACCTTTAATCCTAGCATTCCAGAGGCAGAGATCTACCTGGATCTCTGTGTGTTCAAGGATACAGCCAAGCATGGTGACTCACGACTTTAATCCCAGAGAGTGATGGCAGAAAGCAGAAAGGTATATAAGGCATGAAGACCAGAAACTAGAAGCTTTTGGCTGGTTAAGCTTTTAGGCTTTGAGCAGCACAGTTTAGCTGAGAGCCATTCAGATGAGGACTCAGAGGCATCCAGTCTGAGGAAACAGGATCAGCTGAGGAACTGGCAAGGTGAGGTAGCTCTGGCTTGTTCTGTCTCTCTGATCTTCCAGTTTTACCCCAATACCTGGCTCCTGAGTTTGTTTTTATTAATAAGACATTTTAAGATTCATGCTACATCTGGCGCCCAGCGTTCGTGGTATGAATTTATGAAAAAGCTGCTTGCCTGTGGGCTTGCGGGCTCCAGCTCAGCCCCGAGCTACTCTCAGCCAGTTGTGGTGGCACACGCCGGTAGGATTTGCTGAAGGAGGCAGGCGCAGGAGGATCCTGAGTTTGAGGCCAGCCTAGGAGGCTTGCTAAGGAGAAGCTTCGGCAGGGGCCCAGCCACAAATGGTGGCAGTGGGACCATGGAGGCAGCAGCTGCTGCCTGAGTTGCTGGCTGCTTCTCATCGTTGGTGACTGTGGTGATGCTACTACCTGGGATGAAGGGTTTACTGTTGCTTGTTCAGAGAAGAATTGCCAGGACCATCCTGTTACAAGAAAACATCGGCAAAGGTCAGTCTGGAAAAGTTTGGCAAGACAAATACTGGGAAGAAATTGCTGGGAAGATTTTATCTTCTAGGGAAGAATATTCATGGTTCCGAGAGACAGACATTTATCAGACTGAGATTGCTCCAAACCACAGAGGAAAAAAAAAAAAAAAACTACAGGGAACTATGACCACGCCTAATAGCAACTTTGAAATCTTCAAAAGGATGACGGGACCCCATAAAGACGATTCCACATGGACTGTGATAAAGCCATTAAGCTGATTAACACCACCAAAAGATCAACTTTGGACTACAAACTACTTAGGACAATTTGGAGATGGCTAGCTGAGATGATCTAGCCTGACAGACTACTTGAACAAGGACTTGAAACAAGCCCTGCACTTTCTCATTATGCAGCGACTGGACAAATGATACAGGACTTGAAAATTAACCCAAAAATTTTCTTTTCAGGATTCCCTAAAGATTCCTTCACCCTAGAAAGCAGGGTGTAATTTTAAGAAAATGACACCTACATTCCCAAGTTGTGGGATGGGAGGTTTTGGTTGTTTAATGAGTTATGGATATTGTTATTGTTTATGCTTGTTGGTTACACGTTGTTAATTGTTAATGGTCAGGAAAAAAGCTGAACAAAGAGATTAGATTCAGGTTTTGTTTAAAAAAAGGAAAAAGAAAGAAGAGAATATAGATATGAGGTAGGTAGATCATTGGCTCTACTCTGAGAAAAAAGATAAAGAAATAATAGGATAAATGGGTAGATCACCGAATCTACTCCAAAAAAAAAGAGGAAGATATAAAAATGACAAAAGTTAGATTATTGAATCTATTATGAATAGAAAAAAGAGAATATGGATATGATAAGATAAAGATAAGATTTAAAAAGGGCAATTTTTTTTTTCGAGACAAGGTTTCCCTGTGTAGCTTTGCGCCTTTCCTGGAACTCGCTTGGTAGCCCAGGCTGGCCTCGAACTCACAGAGATCTGCCTGGCTCTGCCTCCCGAGTGCTGGGATTAAAGGCGTGCGCCACCACCGCCCGGCTTAAAAAAAGGTCAATTTTTAAATCTACGTTTAAAAAGGAACTACTTGTTTTAAATAGGATAAGTAATGAAATTTTTTTTTGTCTGAGTTTATCAAATGTTACTGGACTGCACATTGTTAATATATATAATGGAGTTTTTTATCTGAATCTGTCAAATGTTAATGGTCTCGACATCGTTAATGTAATTCTTGAGTGTATATATTGTATATACTTATTGGATAGTTTTTCTTGTATTAGTTATAAGCCTTTTTTAATTTTAGTCAAAAAAGGGGAAATGTGGTGGTATTGTGCATCCAAAATATTGTGCACCCTAATAAACTTATCTGGGGTCAAAGAACAGAACAGCTACTAGATACAGAGGCTGGAAAATGATGGCACCCATGCCTTTAATCCTAGCATTCCAGAAGCAGAAATCCCTCTAGATCTCTGTGAGTTCAAGGCCTCATTGGAATCACCCAGGCATGGTGACACACGCCTTTAATCCCAAGAAGTGAGCCTTTAATCCCAGGGAGTAATGGCAGATAGCAGAAAGGTATATAAGATGTGAAGACCAGGAACTAGAAGCATTTGGCTGGTTAAGCTTTCAGGCTTTTGAGTAGCAGTTCAGCTGAGATTCATTCTGGATGAGGACTGAGAGGCTTCCAGTCTGAGGAAACAGGATTAGCTGAGGAATTGGCAAGGTGAGGTAGCTGTGGCTTGTTCTGCTTCTCTGATCTTCCAGCATTCACCCCAATAACTGTCCTCAGGTTTGATTTTATTAATAAGACCTTCTAAGATTCCTGTGACATAGGAGCAGAAGAAACAGTTTATTACTTTGTCCTCAATTGCTTCTTTCAAGCATTAACTAGGACAAAGCAGTGTTACTTGTAGGAAAATGGATGAAAGAGAGAATTGTTTTAAGTTAATAAAATCTTTCATGGAGAAAACAATTACAGAATTGGTATGGTGGCACATAAATTCAACCCAAGCATTCAGGATACAAGGCTGGCAGATCTGTGAGTTCAAGGCCAGCCTGGCCAATGTATTGAGTTTCAGTACAACAAGAGAAATGTCGAGGGTCCTAGTCTCAAAGCATAATAGAATGAAAGAAAGAAAAGAGAAAGGAAAAGAAAGAAATTGAAAGAAAAAAACACTCACACATTTTGTTTGTTGTTCACAGATTTATATGAATACATAAAATTATGGTTGCATCTATATATAATATATCATGTTTATATCATATGATATATCATATATCACACACACACATAAACACACATATCAAAGAGGATAGTTAAAGAATATGAGGGAAATGCAGTCAGTGAAATATAATCTTATATGAAAAGCCCTACTGTGACACAGTTTCATATACAATTAACATTCACAAACATAAAAATAAAGTAAAATGATGTTTTCCCCCTCATCCTGTCAATATTCCAGTTACCATGGTTTTTACTGTCCTTTTTCCATTTTACTGCTGTGACAACAACTTTTGTCTTCTCCAGAGAATCCTTGAGTTTGCCTGATATGCTCTCCTTGACA